GGGGCGGTTGGTAGCGTGTCACACGCGAGGCGTTGGCTCCCCGGGTGAAACTCTCGCATTGCAGGTCTGGAGACTTTCGTCTCCGTTGCGAAGACGCTGCCGTCATCTGAAATATATGATGTCGTGGAGGGCTACGTAAAAATTTCCATGGAGTGTGCTGAAATATTCAAACTCTTGGACGGGGAAAGGAAGCCTGAAAGTGAAGTAAGTTGGCCGTGGGTATTACAGTTTAATGACTGGCTGCGTGCGTCCCGACTGGGAGGGGAACCGCCGAAGAAATGCTTTGCAGCATAAATAACTCTGATAATTTGGTATGGGTTTTGGTTTTTTTTTGTTTGGTTGTTTTTTTTTTTCTGGAAATCACAGTGGCAGAAGCACTGGTCAAATGGGAAATGTCCTTTTCAGTGCAAAGATGTGTCTGGATTTAATGATACACACAACCAGTAGTCCTGCCAAAATCAAGCTGTTAAGGTTCTTTAAATGTTATCAAAAGATCATTCATGAAATAAGGCGGTCAACAGAAGAAGTTAAGCAAACAAAAAAAAATAGTCCAGTGAAAGTAATTGTTTTTAGATAACTAGATGTTTTCCCGATACATAAGTATTTGTAGGAAGCCACTGGTAACGTTGACCTTGTTTTTCTCATCTGAGCTGAACACAATTTTTCCTCATCAGAATATGATGAATGAACTAAAGAATTAAAACACTCTTTTCACTGTGAATACTGGGGCAGCATTATTAACTTAAATCTGCTTACAATGTGAAGTTGGATAGTGTTCTTTTTAACCTCAACTTTTTGGTCTTTGCCTTAGATTATCATTTTTGTGTGCGTAATGATGACCTGTGTCATGTTCAATGACATGCTTTCTTCAAGACCCTTTTACTAATAGAGGCTAATACTTGTAATGAATACAGTCCCACTGCTGTGTGGACTCTGGATTCACCTAGAAGGAGTTAATTGCAAGACTGGAGCAGCTCAGATGGTTTTCTCTAGCACATTTCATTGTACACTTACTAACAGTTGTCTCTTGAAGCGTCGGTTCATTAGCCCTAGGCCTTGGCCTCCAGCTGGAAAAGGGCCTTCAAGATCCAACAGCCTGTGCTGAGATTTGCACTGCAGTGGTGTTTGCATCCCCAGAAGCGGCTGTTGTGCATATGCAGATAAATCATGCGTGTCGGTCTCAATTCACGTGTGAGGGGGGACCTTTTTTTGCGTTCAGTTCATTTGTCCAGGATTGTACAGGCCTTCGGTCAGCACGTTGGCTTGGGCTTCCAGAGGAGGTTGTCCCTCCATACGACTGAATTGCATGAGTTTAGCAACTGAAAAAAAAAGAGGAGTCGGCTGACCTCCTGTGGTTCTCTAGTCTTTCACATAGTACCTGTATAGGGGCTTCCTTGAAAATTTGCACTCTCAGAACTAATCCTTTAGAAGAGGAAGCATTAATTTGGGAGAGAATTTAGAAGTTAACTTTGACTTCATGTGTGGAAACTTTCCTCTTGTGGTGGGGTTACTCTTTTTTTAATGGTGTTTGTTACTGTTTGCTCAGCTAGTAATTTCAAACCGTACCTGATATTGGCAGATATTAACATATTTCTATATCTTACAGATGCTGTTAATCTTTCAAGCTCTAGAAGCCATTTTACTGAGGACAGCCACTGACCTCTCCCATTTTTCTGTTGTGGGAATGAACATAGTCAAAAAGTTGATTCATTCCTACATGAGATTGGTCTATGCTGCTTTGTATTCTGAAAATCACAAGTAAGTCTTCTCTGTACTGTTGCAGAGAATCTGTCGCTTGCTCTGAATTGATCCCGAGGGTCTGTCTGGGTCTTGCACATGTGTACAAGACATTCCAAAATTCATCTTGACTTATTGCTAATAATCCCCCTTTATTTAATGGTACTGTTCCACGTTTCATAAAATTGCACATGGAAGTCTTTGCAAGGTGGAAGCTCTGAAATAATACACAATCTAATGCTATTGCTAACTTTCCTGAGGCTGTAGTTTTCATCGGTTGTGCCTGTCCTAGTGAGAGGTAAAGCGGATGGTATCTTGAGTCCTGTTGTTTTAATGCTGCTTGGTTTGTGAAGTGAAATGTACTGCATGGAACAGGGAGGAATAGGCTTTCTTGTAGTTCACAGAGGCCAAGCAGTCTATCTTGTGATGGCAAAAAGCTGCTCTTGAGTGTTTTATTTCCCTGTATTTTTTGTAGTCAGATTTCCATGTTTATAATAGAATTTTTTCTTTCAGGCTGGCTTTTCTTCTGTAACTTATCCTATCTCTTAAATCCAAGGTCATTTTAGGCCGATTTAAGCACTCGTGTGTTATCTAGTCCAGTCTATACAACAATTTCTCGTGCTGTGTGGACAGGGTGAGAGAAGTTCCAAGTGCCAGAGAAATTTTAATACAAACCTGTGAGGAAGAGGAAGGGAGAGAAAAAAATAGAGACTGCAAATGACTTGTCCGAGGCCAATGACTTGTCTTTCCGTCTTTGGACAGGCCAGAATTAGAAAAGCATTTTCTGCTTTCCAGTTTGTGGACACAACCATGCTTCCTGCACCACTCAGTTGACTTTATTGCAACAAGCATTTTAACTGTACATAGAATCCCAAATATAGGGATAGGTATATTGTAAAATAAATTTTGAAACTATGCAAGATCTGCACTTCTTATTAAGCATTTAAAGATTACAGCTTTTGGAGAAATCCTTCTAGAACCTGCATAGAGGAGGCTGCAGATTTCTGATGGTATTCTGATGGTATATGCTCTGCTTTTTCTGTGCTACCTCCTTGATGTGCAAAGGGATTTTATTGTGGTGGTATGTGTGGATGGGATCTCTGCTTTAATCATATGGCTTTCTTGCAGATTGTTCATGAATGAGACATGACTGACAGATTCCAAAACCCTTAATGGGTGGTGGCTATTCAGGTGATGGAGGTCTGCAGACTTGTACCTGATGGCCCTGTCATGTTCCCATTGAAATAAATGGCAAACTCCCACAAATATAGGAGTTCTTAATTTTTGGCACTTTCTTCCTTTTACCCTACTTTATGAAGTGAATATCCAGCTTCTCCTTACAGCTTAATTTTTGGGAAGAATATAAACAGGCATTCCTTTTTCGCTTCTTCCTTCTCCCCTCCTTCCCAGTTGCCATTATCACTGCCTAAAATAATGGGTTTGGTTGTTTTAAATTCTTTTCTGTTTTCTCAGCCAAATTTTCCCAGTGGTCAGTGAGCAAGAATCAAAACTGAGTGTAGATCTTGGGATTTAGTTCATGACAAGACCACGCTGCATACTTAAACTGAAGAAAATCTCTGTCATTCAGCTAAAACACAAAAAATGCAGTCTTATTTTGGCCTGCGCTGTGTGTCCTTAACTTTAGCATCAGCTGTAGCTCCTACGGACCTGCTTGTGGCAGTAAAGCACATAAGCATTTGCAGGACTGGGGGCTCTGTCCAAGAAATAGATGCTTGTAGAAATAGGCTGTTAACAAAGAAGATCGAAGTTCTTTATGAATAGTGGAATAATGTGTGTTTGGCCTAAATCTGTATTGTGATGGTCATTAAAATGGTTGGTTACATATTCAAGTAAAGCTCCCATCAACTGCAGCGAGAGCTTTGCGTGACCGGGGATACTTTCCTAATGGCTATCTTGTTTGCTCGTGTTGGGACTGACTCAGAACTGCCTGAAACTCCTGAAGGCTTGGGTGGATGTTGGAGGTGGAGTGGGATAATTTCTTTTACAGGAAAAAGGTCTTTCTTTAAATTTTAATCTCTTGATTCAGTTGTTTGTATCACTGTCATCTTGGAAATAACCTGCAGGTTTTCCTCTGCCTTTTGTTTTAGGATGAGTCGAGCGTGCCTTACCCTGTTGTCAGCAATGGTGGCTCAGGGGCCAGATTCAGCAAGGGATGTGTATAGCCATTTTGATTTCAATAATAAGTTTCTGCCTGGATTATTGAAAAAAAGATGTAAGAAGGTAAATTAAGCTGCTCTGTGCCATGAAATGCTACACCATGGCTCCATCGGTTTTCTTCTGCCACGTATTTAAAACTAAGCTGTTGCCAAAGTCTCTTAGCCGTATTTTCGTCTGAAAGAATTTACCTCTTCCTTCCTGTCCTGCGTCAGGCTGAAATGCTTCTTGATTGTTTCTAATTGGCAGCAGAACTGATCTATGGGGCAAGGCTTCTCGTCTACTTATATAGGAAATCCCCAGCAGATGTTTCTGAGTATCTGCAACAGTGGGAGAGCTGGCCTGCACCCTTGAGGTATAGCTTGCTTCGTTTTCCAACCCGTGCTGGTCTTTCTCATCTTGTCAGGGTGGTGAGCTCCTTAGGATAACCTTGGTTTTATGCTGCTTTGTAGAATTTACTGCAAAACATCAAAGTGCCTTGTCTGTTTCTAATAAGCTGTGGTGAAATATGAATGTATAGTTTCTGTGGGCTACCCTTTTAATGTCTAAAAGGGAAAGTGATGGTAAACTTCTGAAAACTATTCAGTCGTGTTTAGGAAGAGCTCAGTCTTTTTTCCAATGCATGGATTGCGGTTTGGTCCCACTGAAATAAATGGAGGTTCTGCAGTTATAAAAATGGAGAGAGGATTTTGCCCAGTACTAGTACAGTCAGAGTAATTGCATTTGAAAATATAACCAATAGGTTTAAACAATCTCTTGGCGGAAATCCTTAAGGAAGATATGCGAGTGAGTAGAAAAAGTCACTCCTCTTTTTCCAAAAGGAACACTATTTCGTGTTTCCTCTCTATTTGCTAAAAATAATCAGGGTTGACCTGAACCAGTGTTTCAGAACAAGAATATTTACATTTCATTCCAAATACAAGTGTATAATAAATCCAATGTTATTTTCAATGCTGATAGATTGTTTCTAATTTTTAAAGATGACTTGCAGAATAAATGTGTATATTTGTGTTGGGTTTGTGCCATCTGTGGTGACAAATGAGACTGTAAAAGGTGGTTTCAGGGAGAAAGGTGTGTGTTTGTTTTTTTGCCTTTTACTTGATTGCTTTATAAACAATTTCGGGAATGTCAGATTTCATGTTTTTTGACCTTACTGCAGAAGTTGTCTTTAGGAGTACCTCCACTCCTTAAATTAAAATGCTTGGATGTAGGTAGTCTTTTGACCACAAACTTATTAGATATGCAAGTAAAGTACAAGCAAAAAAGTTTCCAGAAACCGATTGAAGATCTTACTCTTGCTCAGCTTTCAGTGAAATTATTATCACAACTGGCTGTCAGAGGTGGATTTTTAATACAAAAATATCAGGCCCAAAGCTTACAGCAAAATCATACTGCTTTCTCTTTTTTCTTCTTTCAGCCCTTTCATGAGTCGCTTTTGCCTTATGTTTAGCCTAGTCAGTATCTTCCTTCAGGCATTTTTACGTGCAACTTAATTTTGCACAGTAAGTTTCAAAAAATTGTAAGTCATGTTCATATCCTATGGTCCTTTTCCAGGCAAAGCTTTCATTTCTTCCACTGTGCCTGAATTTGTAGTTTTGTAACATACTAGCCCCTTTTTTAAGAGCTTTTTTTTTCAGCCGGTCTCAGTTGCATGACCTGGGTAGCTCCCTGAGCAGCTGTGATAGCTGGGAGATGTGTGTAATGCACTGCAGCTCAAAGATGTCAATGAGCAGCAGGAGTCCCCAAGACTGGCACTGCTCTGGAAGCCTGTGTAGTAAGAAATTGCAGCAGCACTACTGTCATTACCGTTCTTGAATGGTTTTGTGAATCGACCAGTGTACCAAGCAGTGCAGAAGTGAGGATGTTCAGTGACGCGTGTACAGGGTTTGGAATGAAACTACCATTAACATTTTCTTTTTTTTTTATTTATGGCCTATCTCGTATGTTGAGAATTGAAAAATATGTGAACTAGGACACCTTCCTTTTTGATGTTAACTTTAACAGACTGTGATCTGCTTAACGCAAGAAGTTTTTCAAATGAATATACTGTGGATGTATTGCATATACATATGTGTGTGGCTATGTGCAACATGTTTATAGAAGTTGTTTAATTTACCTGTTTATAGTTCTTGTAATGCTAATCAACTTCTGCAGTATTAATTTTGTGGTTGTGTACAATCTGTACGCTAGCAGTGCCTTTTATCTTTTTTAGGGGAGAACTGATGTCCGTATGGCCTATATTCAGTTTGCTCTCTCCTTTTTAATTGCTGGTGACAATGCAATCTTGACACAGGTGCTGGAATTAAAAGGTATTTCACAATTGCTTGTATTTTATTCTTTCTTGTTAAGGCAGAGTCTTTTATATGGGATAATAAATATGAGCTGATTCAAAATGTGAACCAGTTAAACAACACTAGTAAGAAAAAAAATACATATTTTTAATCTTATTACCTGAAAAGCTTTAAATTTCTTCAGAATTCTAATGAGTGCCTCTTCTGCCTGAGAATAATGTTTGCTATCTGCAAAAACTCTGGAAAAATAGGAAGCCCTTGGTGACACAGATGTAAAAAAGGTAAATGTAATATAGCTTTGAGCCATAGATTCAATAAGCAGAAAAAATCTTCATCGCCTCCAGCCTTGCTCATAACACAGTAATAGTGGATATCATAGAATCATAGAACACCAGGTTGGAAGGGATCTCGGGGATCATCTGGTCCAACCTTTCTTGGCAAAAGCACGGTCTAGACAAGATGGCCCAACACCCTATCCAGCCAAATCTTATAAGTGTCCAATGTTGGGGAATCCACCACTTCCCTGGGGACATTATTCCAATGGCATTGCATTAAAAATTTTTTAAAAAGTGTTAAAGACTATGTGTACTTTAGTTTCCTTTCTATTCTCATGCAGGACTACTGTTGTGTACTCCGTTAGACTGCTTTTTGTCAATGATTCAGGAGACCAGTGTAATGTCCTTTGCATCCTTTATGGAGGCATTACATGGGAGTGCAGTCCAGGAGTATGTTACACCCATGTCTCTTAGAGAAGGGAGTCAAACTGAACTGATGAAGAAGAGGATCCAGAAAGTTAAATCTTACATACAGTTGATCAATACTTGATCCCTTATGTGCTGAAGATAATGTAAAACCTCTGTTGACTTTAGTGATTTGAAATCTACTGCTGATGTTTTTCAAGTTGTGAATTGAGACCCTTGGTAAGATTATGAAAGAATTCAGAAGGGACCTAGTACTACTCTGAAAAAAAAAAAAAGAAGCCATTAGCTGGCAGCAGTTAATTTCTTCTGTGGTGAGGGACTGAGAACAGGCCATAATTATTTACTTCTATTGTTCATGCTACCCTGGGGACTGCTGATTTCCTTTAATTGCTAACAGTTGTTCAGTTCTTCTAGGACAGGGAATGGCAGTGCACACCTAGACCCAGTCAGCACAGCTGGCTTTCATTCCCCTGTAAGATACTGAAGTTCTCTGTAAATTGAAGTTCTCTAACTTTGGGATGCACAGGTGAGCCAAAAGATGATTCATGTCATTGGAGATGTAACCTCCAAACATTTGAGAATCACTTGGTGAAACAGTTGAGAATAGGCATTTACTCAAGTTTAAATACTGCACAGCACATTGAGGCCTGAAATATATTTGAAGTGACATGCTGTTGCAGTCAGTGTTAATAACCAAGTTGGCAAATTAGCTAGTTACGATGAGAGTAGGTTTAGCAGCATCACTTGTTCATCACTGTAGTTACAGACATATCATCCTTCTGAACTCTTGATTGCAGCCTTTTGGTTCATCCTTAAATATAACAGCAAGGTAAATAATATGACATTGAAGAGGAATGGGTATGAATTCCCTGAAGCGTTTTAGTATGAAAATAGCTTTCACATTTTCACTTAACATTTGAAATGTCTTCTTAGATTTCCTTCCAGATATTCTTCGTTCTGAAGTAAAGGAAGACAAAGTTTCTACTGTCAATCTTCTACTTTCCACACTGAGAACTAAGGTATGATATACTCTTGAAACTGCGTTGTCTCTTGTTTTCTATTTTCTTTGCTGCTGGAAACAGTTTTGCAGTAATTTCTCATAAAATGTACTGCTCTTTAAGATGTTGGCACTGTGCTGCTGCTGCAAAGTTTGTCAGTGTGTCCATTACTGATAATATTTGTTGGAGATTGATAGCTTGGCTGTATTACTGTTTCAGGACTGGAGATTGTTACGCTTTTCCAATGCCCTCTTTTAAAGGAAGTCCTTGCATAGCTTGTACTTGGATGCTAATTTCAGCTCATCTTTAGTGTGTGGTGTCCAACAGATACCGATTGTTTCATGGGTTGCGATTGCATCAGTGCCAAGTCTGAAGGTCAAAGGAACTGGAGTCTTTTTGGTGCTTCCAGTGACAGTAAGATTGGTCTGTAAATGAATGTGTCTCATGCCGAAATGGGGAGATCAGCTAGATTTGACTAGGTTTGTTAGCTCTGAACTAGGTAATGACATACAATCTTCTTTACAGGAGAAAAAGGATTTTGTGTTTTTAGTGTGGAGACTGTGACATGAAATGAGTTTCTAGGAGATGTCTGGTTGCAGTTGAAGGGTCTGTGGTACCGTTCCCCAACCAGTCGTGGCAGGGCTCCATTGAGGCCACATCCTGTGGTCCTGGTTATCTGGTCTTTGGACTTCGTTACTGTTGGGATGGCAACGTTTCTGCTGCAGGAGGTTAATTCGATCAAAGTTGTTTCTTGGTGGGATAGGGAAGTTTTATCATAAAATTGTCTTCCCAAGATCGGAGATGTTTTTGTGAAAAAGAAAGGGTACATTCCACCTGCTATCAGAAAGTACTGTTGGAGAGGTAAGTCTGCTCCTCTTTGAAGTTGTTTTTTCTGATTCATAGCAGACAGAAATAACCTCGTGATATAGCAGGGTTGAGACAGAAAACTTGAAAGCAGGAATTGCTGAAAGGCGTGAGAATTGGTTTAGTCTCAGCTGCCTTTCCTGTGCTCTGTTGTTCCTTAGCTTCTGAGCATGGCTGTGCCTCTTTCACTGTGATGCACCAGCTTATTGCTGCTATGGGTACAGCAACTGCGCCAGAGATTTTATTTCTATAAAAGTGTTCTTAAAAATGTTTTTAGTTCCAGTGTCTATGATTTTTGAATCTCTGTTTTGAATTACTGTAGCAATGTTGCACAAGCTGTTGTATGACCAATTGAGAGAATGAAGAAAAAATAGTTTCAAATTTAGAGTGTAACCATAAGAACCTGCCTCAGACTTAGGCTTTTCACAACTGTCAATTTAAAGCCAAAAATATTCTTTCATTTTTCTATTGCAATAACCTTGGAAGAAGAAGAAGAAAAAAGCTAGCATTTAAAAGTAAAATAAACCTCCTTGAAACTTTGTTTTCTAAATGAAGCTTTTCCCATGTGGGAATCATACATCATGTATGTTATGTTATTGATGAAACCTCATGCATTGTATGACTCCTTCAGTTTAGCCGGGAAAATAAGAATTAAAAAAATGAGGACAGGAGAACACAGTAGGAGAATTTTTGAGAACTTTCTCCACCATGTTTTCCCTTTCATTCAAACTTTATTTGTAGCAGGTTCTACCATCTCTACGAGCAGGTTTCCGTGATCCTAGTCTGTGGCTATGCTACTCTGAATATGTTCCATGCTCTTTAGTTGAACTTGAAAGTCTATCCTGTTCAGCATGTGCAGTGTTTGCAGAAGTTGGTGTAGAGTCCTATGGCTTCAACCACATCAAGATGGGAGCAGGAGCGTGTGAAAGAAGTGTTAACAGGACAGGCAGAACCTTTTGCCTGCTGCAGTGAGGAGAGTGAGCTGTGTGTGTACTAGAAGAATGGAGCATGTTGCTAATTTGCCATTATTTTGTGATAACTTGCAATAAATAGAAGAGTTGTTTATGTGTTTGTTTTTCTCATTGTTTCCAGGTGGTTCAAAATAAAAATATCACCAAAACCCAGAAGGTGCGCTTTTTTACTGCAGAAGTGTTGATTCACATAGCTTCACTTTACCGGTGGAATGGGATTACTGATGTCAGCCCTGGAGATTTAAAGGTCTGGTAACTTACTTCTTTGTAACCCCTAGTCCTTGTCCTGCCTTTTTTTTTTTTTTTCCTCTTGGAGCCCACAGGTTTTGAAATAGCTCATCAAGGTTAGAGTAACTGGGAGCTCAAGAAGAGGTATCTGCTGAGGCTACTTAAAGAGAAACCCTGACTTTCTGCCTCTTCTCACCGCTCGAGGAAGAGAGTTCGTTTCCCCTCCCTGATTGCCAGAACTGCAGTGCAGATCTGTGAACCAGGGAGAACTGGGGCTTTTGGGTGCGAATACCATATTCCATTGCCTGGATACATTTGTGCCTCTATAGGAGAATATATCAGAAGCAATGTTCTTACCACATGCCTCATTCCCATCCTACACGCTGATCTGATATGAGAGCTAAACTCCCAAGATGGTTGCCAGCCTTTTCAGCTTGCATTGTTTGAGAGGTTGGCAGTGTTTCTGAGGGCTGAGCTGTTACTGATTCTACTGGTCCATGAAATCACATTCCTAAAACCATAGGTGAGGCAAGGATCAGGGCAGTAGCTGGTGGGTGTGTGTTAGTACTGCAGATGTTTTGTCATCTTCTCCTCATAAATAGGTTACATTTTTGCTTTTTTATTTTTCTTAATTATGTAATCTCTTCCCCCGGCCCTTTCCCTGTGGGAATATCTAAGGCATGGCTGTAAGCCCCATGCAAAGCAGTAGAAAGACTTCTATGCTTCCACGGGGTTTTGGCTGCAGACTTTTCACCTTTGTGTTGATTAACGCTGGATCTTTAGAAGCCCAACCATTCTTCTTCAAAACTTCTAACGCTGAACAACTGCCGCCTTATACTTCCTCTACTGGATGTTTATGCCTGTGCCGTTCCAATCCTGATGTATTGTAAACACCTTTTGGAGGAGGTCTGTTTCTAGTAGGTGTCTTCGGAGCTATGCAAATCTATGATCCTATTAATAAATATGCATTTCAGTTTTGAGTAATTTTAAATTCTTGCAATTCCGTGCAGTCCTTGTGAGTCATATGGTTTGTGATTTCCTAACCATAATTGTCAAGGGACTTCTCATTCGTAGGGATCTTGAGCTGTGCTGTTTGTAAAAGGTTAAGGGAATCTGGGTTCACTTTTTTTTTTGTTGTTCTTTTTGTTTGACATGGGTATTTGGTCACTTCTTCCGTTTTTGTACGGTGACTGTGATGGCATTGATGCCACACCTCCTTTCTCTGAAGTGTTGGCATATTCAGTGCGTTGTTAGCTATCCAGCTTTCTTGCCCTATATTAAAGTTGTTCCATCTTCTGCCAAATTGGCCCAAAAAACATAAACATGCTTTTTCACATGCTTTATGCTGAAGGCTTCAGTGATTTTTTTTGGTCTTTCTGAACTTCCTCATAGTGAACCTGGCCTGTAAGGTTGAAAGTTGGTTATTTCAGATTAAATATTAGATCCTTGGCTTCCAAGTCCCAGGATGGCCTTGCCCCATTTATGTAAGGTTTATATCATTACTTTTCTTTAGCTTGACTTTTCCCTATCTTGTTCTGTCTGGCTTCTTAGCAAAAAGCCCTAAGTCAGTAATGCCCTGCAGATAGTACATATGTATGTGAATTTGGTACATTTGGTTTGCTTTCCTTGAAACAAAAAAGATTGTAATATTTAATGTGTTTAATACAGAAACTGAAATTTGTCTTGTTAATCTGAACAAAAGCCAAACTATCTTTTAGCATTTCTGTATAAAAGGAGCTTCATAAAATTTAGAGAAGAGTGAAACTGATGTAAGATTTTCTTCTGTGATACCAAAAATCATATGCCTTTTTTACTCCTTTTTGGTTTTTATAGATGACTCAAGGTTCTGAAGAGGTGGGAAAGATGATGGTACGGGAACTTGTTCATAATTTCTTAATGGACCTCTGCTGCTCTCTGAAACATGGCATAACTTTCTATGATCCAAGTCTTGGAACTTCTGGCAAGTAAGTCACCAGACAGATGAGACTGTATGTGTACTTTCTGCTAGGAACAAGAGAGACCTCACTAGTTATCTTGTCTGCCCTTGCAGGCCTTTGCCAGTAACTTCACTGCTTCTCTCTCTCTTCTGTGGCAGAAGAAATAAGTATGTTGGGGTTTTTTGTTGTTTTTTGTTTTTAACTTCACAAGGTCAAGTTGGATCTCCTTATACCTCTGTCTACTAGAGTAGAGAGTGCTCTGCCCTATTCATAGGGGCTTAGGCAATGATTGTGTTTCTCTGAGCCATCTCCATGAATAACTAGATAACAAGTCTCTTATTGTAAGGTGTGATTTGGATCATAGATATTTTTTTTTTTTTTTGAGGTGACAATAAAGCATCAGAGCTGCAGTGTAAACCAGATGGTAGTAAAATACCTAGTCTAATTTACATTTTGTAGAACCAGGTGTGGTTTATCCCAGGTTTTGGCAAAATGTCAACATTGATTTCAGTAGTGCCAGAATTTGGCCTGCAACACCTGATCTGGAAGCACCTATTTGCCCTACTGTTTCCATTTGCGAACTAGTTAAAATATGTGTGCACTAAAATTATAACTGATAGAGAAAATAATTGAGACTCTTGTAATTCCATGGAGGAGTTCTCATAGGGTGAGTTCATCGCATTAGCTGGGCAAAGAAGGTACTAGATTGTAGGAGCAGGTACTGATACTGAGTGGTGCTAGAGCAGGTTGTTTCTTGCTTTGAGCAAAATTTTACCTGGTATTCGTCTGGTATCTGCAGTATTCTCACTTTGTTTAGGGACATACAGAAGTAAACTTAAAAAAAAGGACTGAAAGACCACAAAAAATACTTCCAAGTTTAATACTAAGTTTTAATTCTACATTTTTAGCTTTGTGAAGTTTGGTTAGAATATTTCTGAAACATTGTGGGTTTAATTAAAAGTAATTACTCTTTGTCATGCAGAAAACCTGGAGGTAAATTAAGTTCTTGCTTTTCTGAGTATAAACTCAAGTTATGCCAGCAGTGTGAGAGGTCTTGCCTTGAATTTATCCCAGGAACAGTTAGAGGAGTTGCAGAGTTAGCATCACATGTGAAGTATCGAAACAGGGATTTCTTTTTTGAAGTATTTTTTTTGTCTTCAATAGGGGAGGAAATGTGGTACTTCTGCGCTTCCTGCTCGGTTTAAAAACTGCAACAGAAGATGAAATGGTTGCTGATCTCATGGTGAATATTCTTAAAGTATGCCCAGATTTATTGAATAGATACTTTAAGGAGACCCGGTATTCCTTTGTTCCTAGACTGAAGTCAGCTTGGATGGACAATATGAAGTTACTCAAAAAGGTAAGAGTGTGGATGATGCACACCACCTCTCCATAGAAATCTGCAATCCCAATGCTCTTTTTTTCCTCCAAAAATTGAAGTATTTTTTGTTAAACAGTACTGCAGAATCACACTAAATTGTAATAGGAAAGATGGTAAAGTCAAACATTCCTGACCTACAGAAAAGTTACCAAGCAAAAGAACTTGGTAGTAGATTGGTAAGCCTGCCTTTGATTGCGTTTATTGCAGATAGATATTATAATGTCATTCCTTTGTAAAACTTGTTACAATTTGGTACTGTGCCTTACAGAGCCTGGCCAGCCTGTGGTGTGGCCGTGTTAGGTATAAACTAACTCTGAATTCATGATCTTAGCTGAGGTCTTCCTAGTAACAAGGAACAAGATTTCATTGATTTCAGAGGAACTAAGCTGAGGATCAGCAAGTGGGGTTTTTTGTTTTTGTTCAGAAGCAGCTGTTCTGTATCAGAGGAAACTCTCATGTCTGAAGATGTGTTGTGTTCACAGCTGTAAATGCACAGTGCTTTAGAGTTTATTAAAATCACTAAAAAGCAGACAGGCACAATGTTTCATAAATAATGATTTTAAAAACAAACCAGTCCAACAGCGGGGAAGTTAGGTGGCTGAGGTTTAAGTGAGCTAAACAGGAAGGACTTAATGGTTCTGAAATAAGACCATTGATTACTGTAGGTATGTTAGGAAAGAAGCAGCAGGATGCTGTTAAATGTCGAAGATGGTAAACAGAGGAGGGGGGAAATGGCATCCTGTTTTCTGTGGGTGCTGAGGAAAATGAGCCATGGCTCAGAGCCACAGCTGCCTTAAAAAGTGTAGACGTAGAGTGAGTTGGAAGGTCATTTGGTAAAAAGCCATGCTCAGCAGGAGGCTGTATAAACATTTAACTAAACCAGGAAAGAAGGAATTGGCATAAGAAGCAGTAGGAAACATCACGTTGATGGTACGTGTTTTAAGATGCAGCAACATCGAAGCTCAGCTAGAAAAACCTTTTGTCCTTTCTGAGTGTTCCTCTGACTCTTTGCTTTAGCTTAAAATGGGCAAGTAGGATCTGTAGTCTGTTTGTTGAAAAGGGGTGGCCTTTAGCGGGGGTGCAGGTCGCATACAGATGTTCCATTTAGTTGAATAGGAGTCTGGGGGATGCACTGTAGCATTTCTGCATAAAAATTGATATTTAGTGCTGTCATTACTTTTGATAAGTCAAAGCCCTTCTGTAAAATGCTCCCCAGAAGAAGCTGTTATCTCAAGGGCTATATCAATGTTGATTAAATTGTTATTTTTATTTTAGATCTATGAGGCTCAACCAGAGATTTCCAATTCTTTTAAGACTTCAGAGTTTATTCCTCTTCCCAGGATGCTTTCTATGGTGATGGTAACAACAGTCCCTGCAGTGTGCAATAAAATAATGTTCACCCAAGGACTAAATGTAAGACCAGTCTATAGTATTTCAGTGGATTTTTCTGTCCTCATTAATACTGTTTGATTTAATGTATGATCATCGAAGAAGTTTCTTAAGTTGGTTAGTTACATACATTTTATATTGTCTGTCCCAGCATAAAGCTGGCTTGGGGAAGCACTGGAAAATCAATTAAAATCCATTGATACTGCTTATAAGAGCCATTCACAAGCACCAGTGCTGCCAATGATCACTAGTGGTTTAGGTTGGGAACCTGAAAACCTACAGATTCTTTCCTGCAAGCCAAGATTTAGGAAATAATTAATTCATTAACAAATTGTAACATATATTCAGAGTACAGATTATGTGCAAAGCACAAGAGGAAGCAATGAAATGTCATTAATTCAACTTCCTTCTTTCAGTTACCCAGCACAGTAGTGAAGCACAGCATACTGTCACTTGTATCAATGGTTCTGAGAAGAGCCTTGAAGAATATTGAGTATTGTTTGAATGAAGAAACTTGGCAAAAGTCAGAAATCTATACACTGTCAATGATGCAGGAATTTGTACAGCTGTACAGAGAAGCCATCAGCAAGGTACAAAATAAAAAGAAAACTGGGGTATAACATGAGTCATTTTGCAGCAGATAACTACTCATCTGCACTTTCTCCCGAAGTGTTTGCAGCCTGGGAGCCAGGAGACAGTACCTCTGAGCAGCAGGAGGGGGAACGCCGTGGGTAAAAAGGTGTTAATAACTGGTGTGGTAGTAGACTACATTTTCTAACAAAGCTGGCTGATGTAAATGCAAATAAAATTTTGTTGTGAGACAAATTTGTAACACTGGCATCTATTGTGCTGCAAATGAATTCCAAGAGCAGGCTCAGAAGCAAATTCGCCTCCTGGTTCAAGTAAATTGTAGCCAGCAGAGTTCATTCGGAGTTAGAAGTTACTAGACAAGGTAGCATTTGGGTTGAAAATATACCATGAGGATGAAGAACCAAACGTAATTTTTTTACAGAAAACATTTTCAGAAAAGTGTTCTTTCCAGTATTTATGTTCTGCAGAAGTGAAAGTACACTACTTGATTTTCCAATTGCATATAAGATCAGTTCTAACCTTTGTGAAGGGCAGCAAATCCTCATGTTGGTTCGTTGTGAATATTTTTATCACAATAGCTTTGTCTCACGCAGGAGAGCTATTGCAATTTACTCTTTCTGCTTCTAGCTTTTACCAGACATGAACAATATAGTGGCTGTCTGGCAGTCCCTTCTGAAGCAAGGGAGAGAACACCACGATGGCCAAGAGGAGAAAAGGGAAAGTGATATCTCCACTGTGAAGGCAATGACTGAGACAGCAGAAGTTGCTGAACAGCATGGTAGGCTGTTACTCCTTCTTACATGTGTGTGAATGGGTGTTGTGAAATCCTCATCCCATGTAAGGTAGTTAACTTCAGCAGAGTCCAGGTGTCACTTGTGCATTTACTATTCATCTTTGCTTTGTTTGGTTCTTTGGGCACTTTAATTCTGACCAGTGTCAGAATTGCCTAAGAACACAGTTTGACAAATAGGCTGCCATTCCTACTAGGAGGTTAAGCATTTTGCCTTTCTGCTGTCACAGAGTCACAGAATGGTTGAGGTTGGAAGGGACCTCTGGAGGTCATCTTGTCCAACCCCCCCTCCCTAAACCTGGTTGCCCAGGACCATGTCCAGACAGCTTTTGAATATCTCCAAGGATGGAGACTCCAACAACATCTCTGGGCAACCTGTGCCAGTCCTCGGCCACCCTTACAGTAAAAAAGCGTTTCCTGATGTTCAGAGGAATCCTCCTGTGTTTCAGTTTCTCATTGCCTCTGGTCCTGTCACTGGGCACCACTGAAAAGAGCCTGGCTCTGTCCTCTTTGCACCCTCCCTTCATGTATTTATATACGTTGACAAGATCACCCTGAGCCTTCTCTTCTCCAGGCTGAACAGTCCCAACTCTCCCTGCCTTTCCTCGTAGGAGAGATGCTCCAGTCCTTGGCTTTCCTTGGCTTTTTAAAGGACTCTCTGCAGTATGTCTGTCTCTGTCTTGTACTGGGGACCCCAGAACTGGACACAGCACTCCAGGTGTGGCCTCACCAGCGCTGAATAAAGGGGAAGGATCACCTCCCTTGACCTGCTGGCAACGCTTTGTCTAATGCAGCCCAGGATACTGGTAGCCTTCTCTGTGGCAAGGGCACATTGCTGGCTTGTGTTCAACCTGGACCCCCAGATCCTTTTCTGCTAAGCTGCTTTCCGGCTGGGTGGCTCCCAGTGTGTACTGGTGCATGGGGTTGTTTCTCCTCCGGTGCAGGACTCTGCAGTTCCCGCTGTTGAACTTAACTCTCCTGTCCTTGACCCTTTTATGCTAGTAGGAGTATTTTGCAGCCACACGATAAAACAGGCAGGGAAACTGATATGCCTGAAAAATACTTTTTTGAGGATTTTAGTTTGGCCAAGTTGTTTTACCATGAGATCATTTTTTTGAAGCAGTTAGTTACTGTGGCTACACAAATGCTTGTGTTGCTGTAGCACAGGGTTAGAAACATGCAAGTGTTGGAAGAAGGGGAGAGGGTTGGAGTGAATGCTTCAGTTTTCCTCTCTCAAAACCAGTGTCCCTCTTGAAGGACTTGCTTTCATAGTCCCGTTGCAGGGAACTGGAAGCTTTAGTACTCTCTGTAGCTTGGCTATATAGACTGAAGATAAATCTACAGCCAGTTTCATGCCCTCCACAGGGCATATTCCACAGTGAGACTTCCTGGAGCAGAGAGTTTTTCAGTGTATGTCCTTCTGTGTGTGGCTTTGGGCAGCAAAATAGGTGTCAACGTTGACACTCCAAGGCTCCTTATTGGTAGAGTGCCTGCTGAAACCAATGGAGCAGCTAATCTCTAAAGTACTGTAGTTGTAGTTTCTCTGCATACTAGGGTGATAATACTGTATCACTTACTCTCAGCTCACCTTTTACAGCTTTATTTGCACTGTGGCCGCTAGAGAATTCTTTTTTAATGGGAGTTGAGACTCAGGCAAAGACAAAAGTTTATGCATGGCATCCATCCAGTTCTTCATAGCTCCCTGAGGGAGACCCAGTTAACAGGAAAAATGTAGGTGTTAAAAAAAGTTTTGGCTGCCCTTCACTTATTTTGCTTCCTTTCGTTAGTGACTGGATAACAAGTAGCTTTTATGCGTCCTCATGTTATAAACTAAAAGAATATTTAGCTGCTGAAATAGGTTTTCTTAAGAAGTAAACGGCTGCCTTAGCTGGGGTTGGTGTTTCTCTCATACAGATATTTGTAGTCTTCCTCTTGCCAAGAGTCACATTGAGAAAGTATTATTTTGAAAGAGGGAAGGGAAAGAAAGAAACCTTTAACTGAAGTAATAGATTAGTAATAAATTAGTGTACTGTCTCCTGCACTTCCCCAGTCAAACCTACCTGGCATTAGGTAAAAATAGTGTCCCCAGAAACCAGCAGCATGACCATATCCTTTCCTTCACTTTTTTCTGTTGTTCAGCCTTAAATTGAACAGCAGTGGGACTGATTGGATTCTTATAGTGAGTGTTAAAATGTTGAGGTTGTCTTTTATATGTGTGAGCACTTTTGAATCAAATTAGAAATGGCAGCTGCCAATTTAAGCACTGAATAGGCTGATTTAGTTTTCAAAGTATTCACACAGGAATGCTGGGGAAGGAAACTGGGGATTCCATGTTTTTTTTCTGTTTCTTCTTGTTAGTGAGGAAGATAACTGATCATTTCATAGGTGAGTCTATTGAAAATACAGTTAGTAATTCTCACGTGTGATAATGTAGGTGCTACACTGTGCTCTCTTGGTATGAAGGAAGGAGAAACTAATTATGTAAACACTTTGTTTAGGTACAGATGATGTCGAGACACTGTTTCTGAAAGCTGCACTGCTTCAGGTCATATGCCTTTATCAGAAGGTTGTGCCCCACTTGGTAGCACGGAGCAACTTTGATTTTAGTAAGCTGCTAAAAGGTATGTGATGGGTATTCCTATTACCTTCATTGCTTTCTCTGGCTGTTTACAAAGTCCACAGCAGAAGGCAATGTTTGCTCTTCTGTGTAGATAGAGAAAGAACTGTTTTCTAAAAAGTAAACCATTTTAGTTTCTTCATTGTGTTGGCATTTATTGTTGCTATTTCTGCGTGCTCTGGCCCTCTGCCCTCTTAAACTCCATAGCTGCTCTGCTACACTCAGTTGTTGTAGGTGGTAGGTTGCGCTACAGTCTTCCTCTTTGTGTGTTGTATTCTTGCAAAAATTTGGTTTTTATGGGGTTTTAATTCTAACGTTTCTGGGGAGGATTTATGTCCAACTCTTAATGAGATTTGGGGGTGTTATTCTTCCAGACCTATGTGAACAATCCTACATAAGTAAGTTATTTCCAAACTCTTACTAGCCGCAATGATACAGATTTTTTTTTTTAACAGTGTAGTTCACAGAAAGTTTGGGGTGGGGGGAAAAGCACATACTAATTCACCAGTCTCCTCTGGAAAATCTTCTTGACATTCAAGTATTTTTTCCATTTGCTATGTTTTGAATTATTTTATCATAGTTTGGCAGTGTGTGGGGAGAAGAACAATATTCTTTATGGTATTATCTCCTGTGGGAAATCTATATGAGGAAGCACTTTAGCAATATTGTTGTATTTTTGTCTCTGAAGTCATGTTCACGGAGGGTATTCCTCTTCATGCAGCAGAAGTAAACAGAGACGTTCTGTACCTGCTTAATGCAGCAAGGATGATGAGCCACAAATTATGGACTGTGGGCAAGATCCACCAATACTGTTTGTGGTACAATAAATACAGCCATTTAAAATTGAGACTGGAAGAGAGACCAGAATGTTGTTTTGGTATCATTGCTGTCTGTGGGCCACCAGAACTTGTAGGCCACCAAGCTAGAGCAACTATCTATGTTTTAGGCAGGTCTGGGATGTGTAAGAATGGGAGTTACGTAAATGCCTTAATTAAAGTCTGTCAGGGGAAAAAATCATAGAATCATTTAGGCTGGAAAA